TTCATCACATTTCTTTCTCCCACCTTAGGTTCCTAGAATGGTAGCCTTAAACATTTTAAAGACTTGATTGAATAAGGAGACAAATTCCTTTTCATCATAATCTGATTCCATTGAGTTTTTCCATGTATAATGGATTATACTTAGAAGTTCTGTTCTGAAGATTTTCCTAACTCCTTCCTTCCCTCCTTCCTTCCTTCTCTCCATTCTTCCCTCCCTCATTCTTCTTTCCCATCTCATCTAAAGCAGGGTATGCTGCTGTGGGTGCCATCTTTATGCTTTTCTTATGCTTCCTAGAACTTAATAATGTTGAGACTATAAAAATAACTTCATTTATTATCCATTATTTGTTATCATTCATTTCTTATTCATAATTATTAATGGAGCAGGCAAGATCTCATTGAGAAAGTAGCATTTAAGTAAGGACGGAAAGAGGAGAGAATTAGTTAATCTGGGAAAAGAGATCCAGGCCAAGGGAATAGTAGTACAAAAGCCTAGAAGCAGGAATACACTCAGTGGGTTTGAAGAACAGGAAAAGAAGGGTAGAACTTGTGAGGCAGAGTGGTAGAAAATGAAGTGAGGAGGTAAAAACTAGATAGAAAAATTGTCTATGGCCTTTATAACAATTATGGTTAATGAACTATGAATAACTGAAATAAAAAGCTACCAATTTCTTAAGAAATAATAAAATATAAATAACTTCAAAAGAATTGTATTCAAAAGAATACAGACTACAGGAGAAAAAAAAGCAGAAAACTGCTTTAGAGGTATCCAAGCAGAAATGGAGGTATGCAGACATAAAAAAAGAATCTAACCTCAGAAAGAGGTTAGATTTTTAGATTCCTAGATTTAGAGCTAAAAGATACCACTAGCTGACAAGAGAAGTATGAAGGCATAATTAGATAATCGGATTCCAGCCATTTACACTATTTGGGGGAAAATCTCTTTATATAATACAAAAGTAAAAGAAAGTAAAAGAAAACCACTTAGAATACAAAATTCTGAAGACATTATCCCCATCATTCATCCTGTCCAGCATGAGTTAGAGTCCTGTCTTGTCTCCCCTGAGTGGGTGGGAGCAGAATACTGGACATGGAGACAGCATGCCACACTATCAATTTTAAGATTTTATGAAGATCCACTCATTCTTCTTTGTTAAAATTGCAGCCAACTTTGGCTTTCCCACCCAGGATTATAATCTCAGGCCATCTGCAATACCAAACCAGACTCAAAGAAACATAGGTTGCATGAGTTCCCTCATTTGTAATAATTAGAATGTGCTTTTAAATCTGTATGTAAACCCAGTGGACAGTAAAAGACAAAAAAGTTACACTTGGACATGATAAATTAAACAGGACTCTAAACATTCACACAGTGAGACAGAAGGACAATATCCTTAGAAGAGGATCACAAGGGCTCAACAGATAAGTGCCTATGATCATGTAAAATGATGCTTATCAAAATGAACTCCCAGAATGAGGTTTTTTATTTTACTTTTTGTGATTCTTCTGTTTCTTTCCCCCCTCTTGTCACTGTTTTTGATTTCTGATCTTCGTCTGGATTTAAGTTTATCTGATTTGGGAAGGTGAAGGAGAAGCACATAAATGGAGGGACAAAGGGTAAACTTAATACAGCCGTGATACACTGGACACTATGTTAGAAATGAACTATACAAAGTGGGGGGAGGGCACAGGTGAGAAAAAAAACTAGTAGAAAATGAAAGAGAGGGTATCATTGTTCAAAAAGAAATGTACTCATTACCTGACTTGCATAACTGTATCCCCTCTGTACATCACCTTTACAATAAAACTAAAAATAAAAATGAATAAAATCAACTTGAAAAAGCCAAAAATTCAACACTACTTTTTCTATTAGTGCTCCAGAAATTTTTTTTCCATATTCTGCTCCAAATTAAGCGAGAATTATCCAGTTCCAAAAGAAAACTGTTGTTTTTTACATCACAACGACAAAGCAGTAGAGCCAATGAGCAGAAGAGGAGCTACCTCAGGGACTGAAACAGCAGCATCTCCACTCAGATGAACCTCTACAAGGTTTAGTAGTTTTTCTTGAATAAATGTGTCTCAATTTGTTGCTTGATTCTGGTTATTTTCCAAAGTCTTGAAATGGTTCCTTCTGACAATTTTATGCACTTTTATTTTACTTTGTGATAAGTGGATTTGCTAAATTTCTCACTCAGCCACTCTGCATTAAATACATTTTAAAAATAATCTGCCCAAGTAACCTACTAAAAAATGCCAGAGAAAATATTTTGAATCATTTCTAAATATAGAAACTGCCACTACATTGAAATTACTATTTTCTTTTTGCTGTTAACAGCCCTTTGTTGAAAAGACTTACTCAGGTGGACTTAAGTGGAAAAAGCATTCTAAGCAATGAGCATTTGTAAAGAAAGACACAGAAGTATGTCAGGAAAGTGTGTAGTTAAGAGTTTGGTGGGTGAACACTTCTCTATTTTTAGCTCTTTCTGTTCAACTACAAAGACACTAAAATCTTTTATAATACCCCAAAAATGCCCTCTTTGGTCAGAATAGTGTAGCATTTTTAGTTCAATCTCCTCATCAAATTTCTTTTTTTTTTTTTTTTTTTTTGCCGGTCATGGTGCCTGAACTCTGGGTCTGGGCGCTGTCCCTCAGCTCTTCAGCTCAAGGCTAGCGCTCTACCACTGGAGCCACAGCGCCACTTCCGGCTTTTTCTGTTTATGTGGTGCTGAGGAATCGAACCCAGGGCCTCATGCTTGCAAGGCATGCACTCTACCGCTGAGCTACCTTCCCAGCCCTCCTCATCAAATTTCTTAAAATAATAATTCAAAAACTATTGGTTCACACCTGTAATCCTAACTACTCAGAAGGCTGAGATCTTTGGATAAGCTCAGAGCCAGCTGAGGCAGGAAAATCAATGAGATTCTTATCTCCAATTAATCCATAAAAAAAAAAACATACCATGTGGCTCAAGTGGCAGAGCACTAGCCTTCAGCACAAAGTTCAGTGACAGCACCCATGCCCTGAGTTCAAGCCCAAGGACCAGCCAAAAAAAAAAAAAAAGAAAGAACCTAGAGCCAAATTTTGGTTCTCCTCTAAGATTTAAAAAACTTTTTTTTGTTTGTACATTTTTTTATTGTAAAAATGCTATGCAGAGGGGTTACAGTTACATGAGCAAGGTAATAAGCATATTTGCTATTTTTTTCTAATGCTTTTCTTACACATTTTATGATTGTAGTAGTTGGTATTTCTAAATATTTTGCTGATTAATAAGAAAAATCTGTGGGACATTTGTTTTGCCATTTGCTTCTAAATGTATCAGTTTGTTACAAGTTTGTTTTATATAAGTAAATATCTGTACAATTTTCAAATCTTAAACCTCTAAAGTAATTATCACTGAGTCATAAAATACCTTTCCATACCTCGAATGATAATTAGTAATTTCTCATGAAAAACTCGGGAAATTAACTTAAGGTTTGCCTGTTATCTAAAACATTATTCTGGTTTCCTTGAGATTTTTTTTATAACTTGGCCTTCAAAGAAGTATGTATGGCTTTTGGCAGATACAATCTAATTATCTTATACAAAATATTTTTGTTAATACACTTATTTATATGCTTGGCATCACCCTCGAAAATGCTTAAAAATATGATGAAAGAGCCCTAAATAATGTTGCTTAGAAGATAGTCCTTCATATTACTTATCCATCTTATATTGAATTACAATTTTAGACAGAGGAATATCTAAAATATGAATGTTATCTGGGAGTACAATACGCAGACTATACTTAGAAAGATAATGTAAAAAATATTACCTTTAAAGAGACATATCAATTCAGTGCTTCAAAGAATACCTCCCTTTTGTGTGTTATAAATATCATGAACTTTACAGTAAAAATGTCATAGGCTTCTGTATATCATATTTAATTCATTAATTACCCTTATGACCACAAATGATTTACTGGAGGGTCATGAACAAAAAAGTCCATGAGACTTCATCTCCAAGATAAGTAACACAAAGCAAGGCTACAAGTAGCTTACACTGTAAAACAGCAGCCAGCAAGCAAGAGAAGTAAGTATGAAGACCTAAGTTCAAACCCTAGTTCTAACAAAAAAAAAAAAAAGGAAAGAAAATAAGAACAATACTTCAAATAATCTAATGTTTTGCATAAATAAATGAAAACAACAAGAACAAATTAAAAGTTAACAGAAGAAAACAAAGTAAAAATAAGAAATAGTTTGATATCAATAAAATCAAGTAATGGCTATTGAAAAGATACAAATAAAATTCTTGAACACATTAGATACAGAAGAAATATGCCTCAATATAAGAAGTCAAATATGAGGGCTGGGATGTAGCTCAGTGGCAAAATGCTTGCCTAGCAAGTACAACATCCTGGGCTCAATCCCCAGTACCAAAAAGAAAAGACTCCCCCAAAAAATACAATTAAAAAAGAAGTCAAATATAACAAATTCAAAGCTAATAGCATACTTTATGGAAATAATTTGAATGATTTACCTCTAAGATCTGAAATAAGACAAAGATATCTAACTCCTATTCAACACAGACGCCTAGCAAGAGTAATCAAAGAGAAGAAGGGAAGGGAAGAGAGAAGGTGAGTGGAGGGGGAGGTGGGAGGGGAGGAGAGAGAAGAGAAGACAATACGAGAGAAGAGGAGGAAAGGGGAATTCTAAAAATACTTGAATCTGAATTTTTCATTAAATATTTCCAAAATACTTGAAATAAAATAGGCAGCAAACCAGCAAAGTGATTCTGTCAAAATGAAATAGTTGCATAAGTGGCAGTGGAAACTACGCAACCAAAGAACCCAATAACTAAATTCACTTCTGCATGTAGTAGAATCTAATCTAAGTGGCAAAGACTAGGAATAAACACCTGGCCATATAGTGTGTCCAGAGACAAACACACATACATGCACATCACGCTTTAAAGATTTATAACATGTTTCTAAATAGAAAAATCTGAATTAATTCAACTTCTTACCTTCTTCTGCTTCATCCTCCTGAGGTGACAGTGGACCCCCTCCACTAGTAGGAGTAACAGGTTCTTCCTTGTCAGACTCTCGCTGCAGGCTCACCACCTCATATATTGCATCTCCAGCACTGGAATGTCCTTTTCCCTCAGACTAAGAAAGATATAACCATGTGTGTAAATATAAGAAATCTAAAGATAGCATTTCAATGGTTCATTAAAAATATCTGAAATGGCTGAGTGCAGTGGGCCAAACCTATAATTATAATCTTAGCTAACTGGGAAGCAAAGACTGAGGGATTGTGGTTCAAGGCCACTCAAATTCTTTCAACTCTTTCCCAATTCAAAGCCACAGACTATTCTTTTCTCTCTGCCCATAGAGCATTTCTCTTTAACTTTCTCTATCTATCTTAGATCCTTACCTCAAATATTACTTCTACAAATTGGTTTTTTAGAACCCACCTCTCCATCTACAAGGTAAGTTCCTTATGTGTTTGAGTCTCACAAAATCCTGACTTTTACCACAATAAAATTGCATATTTATTTTTATATTTACTTGTTTAATATCTGCTTAATCCACAAGACAGTTAATTCATTAAACAAATCATGTGGTATGTGACACAAAATAAATATATATCGAAGGACTAGCCAGAAAAACATGGATTTGGGAGTCAAATACATCTGAGTTTGAAATAAAATTTTACTATCTATTAGGTATTCCACATTGGCCAACTTACTATTGGTAAGTTATAGTATTTGTAATAAAATAAAACTAATGCTTCTTTCAAATTGTTAAGTTAGATACAATACTGTGTGTGTGTGTGTGTGTGTGTGTGTGTACATGTGTGTGTGTGCGTGCACGCATGCGTGCGAGCACACGTGCCAGTCCTGGGGCTTGAACTGAAGGCAGCCTGGGTGGTGTCCTTGAGCTTTATGCTCAAGGGTAACAAACACTGTACCACTAGAACAGCAGCTCTACTTCCAGCTTTTTGGTGATTAATTGGAGACGAGCATTTGGACTGTCTTGCCCAGACTGGCCTCTATCTGTGATCCTCAGATCTCAGTCTCCTGAGTAGCTAGGATTATAGGCATGAGTCCCCAGGGCCCAGTTATATATAATACTTTGGATATTGACCAAAGTACCTTGTACAAATTTATTAGTGTTAGGTTATAATATCATACTAGGATTTAAAGTAAAAGGATCTAAAGGACTTAACAGGCATGTGTAGAGAGTATTCTGTAGTATCTATCTGTATTATGATATATTTAAGTTATAAAATATGACTAATTACTGTTTTTAAGAATTCTGAAGTCAGTCCAAACATCAAATATATCTTTTACAGTATGGGTTGGTTAAATTATAAAGTTTCCTCACACTAAAATAAACTCTAAACGTTTTTCGTATGGTATCAAACTTTTTCCAGTATCATCAAATCCAAAGTACAATAAGCTGATGTCTCTGTATATAAATCCTCTGAAGCCATTGGTCTAAATGCTAGTTACAAATATGTAATTAACCGTGGAGGGCAGAGATGATCTTAACCTCAACTATCTACTAGTCAGAATCTTTAGGGTATAATATAGAAATCTGAAAGTTTTTTGAAGAATCACCAGCAATTCTAACACAAACCTGAATTAAGGACAATTGTTTATAAGACCTCTTGTTTTTTAAAATTTTATTTTATTGTAAAGATGCGGTACAGAGGGGTTACAATTACATGAGTAAGGTAATGAGTATATTTCTTGTCAAGCATTGTTACCCCCTCCTTTGTTGTTCTGCTATCCATAAGACCTCTTGCTTTTAATAAAAATGTCTATGCAAACCCTATAACAGAATATACACAATTACGTAAGGAAAAGATATGTCCATTATAGAGATAGGCAAATGCTACGGAGAAGTTTAAGTCAGCAAAAAATTTTCTGGAATGTTATAAGAACACTATAGCTTGTGGGGGGGGGGGGGGGGGTATTCTTTTTTTGTCAGTCATGAGGCTTGAACCCTGGGCCTGGGCACTGTCCTTGGGCTCTTCAGATCAAGGTTAGTGCTCTACCACTTAAGCCATAGCACAGAAAGTCTCACGGACTTTCCTACTTGGGCTGGCTTCAAACCTCAATCCTCAGATTCCAGTCTCGTGAGTAGCTAGGATTACAGGCACGAGCCACTGGCACCCAGCTATTTTTATCTTTTATAAATTGAAATTTTATTTTAAGTATTCAGTTACTATTGGTTATATATTGAGTCAAAACATATATTTTATGCTTTATAATAAAATATATTTTCATTTTACGCTTTTTAATGTTAACAATTTACTTTAAAAAAGACGTTTTCTCCAACTTAAAGAATGATGAAGCTGGTGTCAGTGTCTCATGCCTGTAATCCTAGCTACTCAGGAGGCTGAGAGCTGAGGATTTCAATTCCAAGTCAGACATGGCAAAAAGTCCTTCTGAGCCTCTTATCTCAAATTAACCACCCAAAACCTGGAAGTGGTGCTGTGGCTCAAGTGGAAGAGTACTAGCCTTGAGCACAAAGAGGCTCAGGGACATAGCCCAGGCCCCGAGTTTAAGCCTCACAACCAGGGAGGGGGTAGAGGAAAGACTGTTGAAGCACCCAAAATAAAGAATATCTTTTAAGACAGATATCTCCTTCTAAAGGGATACTTTTCTTTTCCATGTAAAGGGACTACTTGGCTAGGGAATACATGTTAGACTTAATTTACTGGACAAGAATATTAACTTTTGCTGAATCTTGGTTTTCCTAAATAACAAAGACTTTTATTCTTCGTGGGAAATATATAGAAAGTTCTTTACATTCAGATCATCAAGCAAAGTTCTTCACTTCTCATCACTGCTTTTAGGATGTTCTTTCCATTACCTCATTTTAAGTAACTGAAGCTCTGAGGGGTTGGCTGGAGCTTATATTAGCAGTGCTTGGTTCAAATGGTAGCTGTCAAACCTTACCACCACCACCACTACCACACATACACACACAGGCACTAAGTTGCTGCTGTTGCTTCCCTGAGGTTCAACCAAACAGCCAAATCAGGCCTGTGAAGTCAGGAAGAAGGTAGGGTATGGATCAGAGCTGAAATCACACTACCTGCAGTACAAGAGTACCCCAGGATACAGGAAGATAGTGACGGGAATCTGTGTTTGCCCAGCAATCAAAGTGCCCTGCTCTGAACCATTCTGTCAGTGTTGCAGCAGTTTGGTCAATGGACTTTAAAGTGATGTCCTAGAGTACAACCAGGATCTCTTTCAAGTTGTACAGAGATCTACCAAGACCGCTGCTGTTATTCCTGTGGCCCCTGAGACAGGCTTGGTTGTGATCATTACTACCACTGTGCCTAAAGTCCTATCACAAGTTGTAGTGGCTGCAACCTTAGCACTGTCACGTCTGCAAATCCTGTAAGTGCTGTGAAATCAATAGTTATTTCAATGACCCAACTGCACTGTCATGACAATGGGTAGAGACCCAAATCCAGCCACCATAACTCCTACAGATACTGGGAGCCTTGGATATAACTTGGGAACTTCCTCATGTGGAGGCTTGCCCTCACCACTTTCATAGAGATCAACAAATCCCAAGCTGCATATGTGTTGGTTGCCAAGAAGAATTTGCTTCATGGCCACAGCTGTCATGGATGAACTCAGACTCCAAAACTGATCCAAAGGTCCCCACCACACTGCACTCTGTAAGAAACAATTCTCTCATTGATGACAGCTAGGAAAGACAAGCCAAGTATACCTGTGCAGACTGTCATGCTAGGACAGAACGTCTGTAATGAGCAATCAGGGATATTGTGTTTATGAGTGGGCTCACCGTTTTTTCCAGCAGCGAATTATAAGCAGCAATCCTCTCACAAACACCTCCATCAGGCTGGGCAGTCTAGGACTTCTGTACCCTGCATGACCATTCTGTATTGCAGCATAAATCCCAGTAAAGCCTTTTGGGGATAATTTCATTACCTGTTCTTGATTTCTCTCAGGTAGACTGGGCTGCGCTGGCTACACTGAGTTAGTAACACCACTGATGGACTGTTATCCCCAAGAACACCTAGCAGCCAGAGAACTGCATAAGAGCTGCCAGGGGCTACTGTGAGCTGAAAACTCCAGGTGTTGAGAGCACCTAGGAAGGCTGCCAAAAATAGCTGGGAAATCTGTTAACATTAGCTACTGAGAGCCACTGGCACTCAGAGCTTGATGTTCTAACACCAAGGGAGCTTTCTTTGGGATTTCAGATTTTTTGTGATTTCTATCCAGAGCAAAAGGACCCTAAGCCATTAATAACAATAGATGGAGATAGCAAGAATAAACTTGACATTTTAACATTAATCCTATACTTAGCACAGAGCTTCCTGTTGGAAGCAAAGGTGTAAGAACAGGAGCTACTTTCTTCTCCAGCCCAACTCCTTTTCTCCTGACAAAGATTAAAACAGTAACTCAGTACTGAAGGTAAAGTCATAAGATATTCTGAGAACAGGTAAGATTACAGCCTTTGTTTTTTGATTTTATTATTTTTGTTGTAAAGGTGATACACAGAGGGGTCACAGTTACATAGGTCATGTAATGAGTACATTTCTTTTTCAACAGTGTCACCTCTTCCCTCATTTTCTCCCAGTTTTTTCCATCCTGACCCTTTCCCCCCACAAGTTATATAGTTCATTTTCAACGTAGTGTCCCACCATTTATGTCCTTCCCCTTACGCTCCCCAAAACAGACAAACTTGCATACAAGATGAAAAGTACAGAAATCAAAAACAGCGACAAAAGGGGAAAAACAAAAAGGAAAACCTACAAAAAGTAAAATAAAAACCTTATTTCCATTTCTTGGAATTCATTTCAATAACATCATTTTATATGATCATATGCACATAGCTACTGAGCCTTTGTGATCCTCTCCTAAGAATATCCTCCTTTGGTCTCACTGTGTGAATGAGTCCTGTTTAATTTAGCATGTCGAAATATAGGTTTTTGTCTTTTAGCATTCATTGTGTTTACTTGTAGATTTATGGACACATTCTAACTATTACAAATGAGGGAAGGCATGCAACATGTTTCTTTGGGTCTGGCTTACTTCATTAAATATAATTTTTTCCAAGTCTTAGATTATAGCCTTTATCATGACTATAACCTGCCCTTTTCTGACAGGAGTCTC